GTATCGCCTCCGCGTGGAGTTCCCTCGGAGCGGCCGGGGCACTGGCAGAGGCGGTGGCGGCGGCGGAGGGGGTGGCGCCCCCCGGGGCAGGTATGGCCCCCCGTCCCGGCGCTCGGAGTACAGAGTGATCGTCTCGGGTGAGTCCTTTCTCTCTTTCTCTAGTTAACGCGTTTCCCCCGGGGGTCCTCGAGGCGGCTTCGCAGCGCCTGGTTTCCGTGCGGAGCCACGCCGTTCCTGCAGCTTTTTCCCCCCCTTAAAAAGCATCCCCCTCGGGTATTCTGGAAGCAGTGTTCACAGCTTCTCAAGGCAGCCTTTCTCCTTACTGAATAGTTTGTCTCACCTGTTGTGGCATGCTATTGTATCTAATATCTAATACTGTATGATAATGTAGTTCATTTTTCAAGTAATGTATTGCCTTTTATTCAGGGCTGCCTCCAAGTGGAAGTTGGCAGGATTTAAAGGATCACATGCGTGAAGCAGGTGATGTATGTTATGCTGATGTTTTCCGAGATGGCACTGGTGTCGTGGAGTTTGTACGGAAGGAAGATATGACCTACGCTGTGCGAAAACTGGATAACACTAAATTTAGATCTCATGAGGTAGGTTTCATGCTTATTTTTGGGCCAGAATTGGATACAAAGGGCTTAACGATAGGATTTGAAGGTAAGGATGTGTGGTTGCCATTGTACTAATACGCAAAGCATGTAAGCTAAGCCCGTAGTCAGTTTGTCGTAAAATAGACTTTAAAGACTTGATGTCTATTTCTGTGCTTTGGTAAACAATATCTTCAGTCTGTCAGCATGCCTAAAAAGATGGCCATAAAGCCTAGACCCTTCAATCGAAAGTTCTGTCTATTCAATAGGGAGAAACTGCCTACATCCGTGTTAAAGTTGATGGTCCAAGAAGTCCAAGCTATGGAAGATCTCGGTCACGCAGCCGTAGTCGTAGCAGAAGCCGTAGTCGAAGCAACAGCAGAAGCCGCAGTTATTCCCCAAGAAGAAGCAGAGGATCTCCACGCTACTCTCCCCGTCACAGCAGATCCCGTTCTCGTACATAAATGATCACTAGCAATGATCTTTTTGTAGAACCCCGTGTTGTACACAGTTTTCCTTTACTCAGTACAGTCTTTCATTTTTTAATTCAAACTGTTTTATTCAAATTGGCTGAAGTGTTGAATTGCATTCTTGTGTAAAATCCCTAGTGAGTATTTGCTCCTTAACATCAACATTCCCCTCATGTCTTTGGTAAATTGTATTTTAATTGATGTCAGTCAGGATTGTTTCAATTTAGTTATAGTTAACTACCAACATTCTTCAAACTGTGGTATTGCTGTGTAAATGTCTCAGTGTTCGGCTATGGTTTATACAAGCTGGGGATGTTGGGATGTTTGTGGCTAACTTGTCTCTTCTGGGGGATCTTATATTTTATCTTGCCTTTTCGTGTGTCTTTCTGTAGACATATCTGAAGAGATGGATTAAGAATGCTTTGGATTAAAGGATTGTGGAGCACATGTCAATCATTTTAGGATTGTCAAAAGGAGGATTGAGGAGGATCAGATCAATAATGGAGGCAATGGTATGACTCCAAGTGCTATTGTCACAGATGAAATTGGCAGTATTGACCTTATACTGAGAGACAGGTTAATTGAGTACATGCACCTACTTGTCACTTCTTCAGGCATGTTTTAGTTCCCGCAGACTACAATTGCTCTTTTCTTTAAAACTTTTTTGGCAATTGTGGCTAAATACTTGCTTTTGTAATTCTCTATTCCATTCTAGTTTTTTAAAGGAATAAACCGGGACGGGGTGGGAGTACTGGTTTACTTTGTCATGCAGCATTTGGTTACAAGTGTTAATGTTATGTAGTATTTGTACACTTGTAGATAAAGGGTACCTTCAAATCAGATAGAGTATAATATCAATACTGCTAAAATCTGCATGTCCTCTGTGTGACTGATACAGCGTTGCTATTTCATTTTTTTTTAAAGTATCAGAATGAAAGCAAAAATAGAAAACGTAGTTGGGAATAATTTCTTAAGTCTCAGCCCTTCCCCTCAGACTAATTCAGAATTGACTCACCAATATGTTTGAAAACTTCAGTTAGTTAATTTTGCTACCTTCCAGATGGGAGTACTAGCTATAGTTTAGACATACAGTAGGTGGATAGCTTTAGCAGTAAACTTTTCCAATTTCATAAACACTTTTTGCAACCACAAAACCTGTAGTGCACCACCGTACAAGCAATGAATATGTTGGCATTTTCAGTTGACATATGTAAATATTACAATGTTTCCTCCAAATAATAATTAACATTTCTAAAAATTATCTGAGCATCACCATTCAGAAGTTTGTTTTGGGGAATTGATAGTTATTAATGTACATCTTTATTAATTGATGGCAAACATAACTGATCATTCCCCAGAATCCTATTTTTTCATTACAGTATCTAACTTTTTGCCTCCTCTTTTTTGGTTTTGCTGGTTATAAAGGTTTGGATTGGAGAGGGCTCACTGGATCCCAATCCTTGGAGCTGGATCATTGGATTCAAATCATAATGTGGATAGGATAGGGAGGCTGAATTACAAGGATTCATGGAGCGGGATCAAATTACCAGGAACATAGGAGTGGATTCCTGCCCCAACCAAACCGCATTCGTGTGGATTTTTTTTATTCAACTCAATTGGCTATTCCAAAGATTTTTTTTTCCTATTTTTGACGATTGGAGCCCTTAAGATGCACGATGGAATTTTGCATTTTTTTGGTAAAAGGAGCAAAGCGAGGACCTGGAGAGGTACGCTGGAGCAATCTCCTTGGAAGGATTCAGCACGAGTAGATGGTAAACATTAAAGGGGAAAAGGGGGGTTTGTTTAAAAAAGAAAAAAGTAAATAAGTCGTTTCTCTAAATTTAAAGTCAAAATTGGAGTTAAAGATTAAGTAGGTTTTCAATTGGCTATTGCCTTTTTTCTTTGACAAATAAAATTTTTAAAAAAACATGCATGGTTGTCATCATTTGTTGATAAGAATCTTAAGCTTTGACTGCTTGCCGCAAGGAACTGTAGCATTGTTAAATCTCGAAAGTTTTCAGACAAAAGACTTTTGTTTTCAACAAAGACATAGTATTTCACAGGAAGGGTTGATGTTTGAACATCAGTTCAGCTCAGTCTCCTAAAAAAAGATCAGTTCTCTGGGAGGTGGATGGAATTTATCACAAGATTAGGTGGAAGAGAAGAATAAATTTTAATGGCTTTTAAAAGAGGAAGCTGTAATGTTACTGGCAACAAAACTCTTCTAAAGAGGTCGTGAAGGAAAGAAGTAAGATTAATCGGCTTCCCTTATGTTAAAAATAAATGCCTGCAGGAGTAAAGTGCGTGTGAACTTTCACAGTGCATATACTCTCAAGTGTTAGTGGGCTTGATATACAGGGTGCAGGAAGCTAGCTAATAATGTAGGTTATCAAGGAATTGGGTTATAAGTGGTAGGTCACTGAAATGTAATCATTAAGCCATTACTGCATAGTGTAGGTGGCTGGGTAATAATGTCACTCAGGTTTGTTCAGCTTTAGGCTAGGTTATCAAGGGTATGAGTTGTATAAACACTGTATCTTAAGTACATGAATATCTTCATAGTTATAAAAGTACGTGAATATTTTCAGTTATTTGATGAAATAATATTGCTTATGTTTGGATATGAGTTAAACTTATGATGAATTAATAATCAGCACTGAGCAGAATGGTATTTTGTTCTGCTTAATATATAATTTGCCAGTTCATAGGACTGTCCTAGTGAGCTCAGTTCAGAGGGTTATCATGTTAATGGTTAAATAGGGTATTTGTGTAAATATGTACACTCTGTTTTCAAAAATGGTTCTATAGGTGGCTTCTGTATGCCAGGGAAAGGTAGCATCCATAATGGAGCAGGCAGTGGAATCCAAGATTTGTGCTTGGGGTAAGATTAGAAGATTTAAATTTTGAACTCAGCATGCTGGCATGCGTAACGCTTGTAAAGTATATTGTATATGGTGACAAATGAGTAATTTGTTACAAAATGATATCTCCTTGCAGAAATACTATATTGCCAAAGGTGTGTGTATATACATATATATATGAGACATACTTTTTCTCAAAGATTATGAAATCTTGAGTAGGAAGTAGAAGCCCTGATTCAGGGGGAGGGAGGATAAAAGCTATGTTAGTCACAGAATTGACTTAGTTTAGATGCTAGCGGGGCCGTGGGAAGATGCCAGGTGGAAAACAACTACAGAATAATAGAAATGGGGGGGGGGGGTTGGGGGTGTGCAGAGGTGGAGTGGCTTGTGCCAGAGGTTGGTAGAATTAGTTAAAATGTAGAAAGCTGAAGGAAGTGGAGTACGCGGTGCTTGCTGGAGCAAATTTTGAAGAGATGTAGGTACCTGCTATTAAAGTAATGGGAAGTCTAGTTCAAAACATTTAACCTCTTGAGCATTTGCTCAGTTCTGGCTACTTGTGCTTAGAAAAGGTTACATTGGAGTAGTTACCTAAGCGAAGGTTACTAGGATGCTCAGGGAAGCAAAACCTGTTTTACAAGGGGTGACCTGAAGAATTTGATTTAACTAAAGTTGGAATCGGAGAAGGTTGCTCTCTGACAGCCCGTGGGTGGGAAAGGCTTGAACTTTACAGAGGAGGAGGAGTGGAAGAGTGTGTTGCCCTTGTAAAGGGAAGGGGTTAGTCTTGTATGTGAAATAGTGGAGTCTGGATTCTGGCACAGCAAGTCAAGGCCAAGCCAGCGGTTCTAATCAAGTTCATAAGGAGTTAACTAATGGACTGAAATGCTAATTTAAGGGGTGATTCAGCTGATTCCCAGAGGAAGATGAGGGAGTATGTGTGCAAGCTGTAATGTTAACGGTGTGAACGTGGCTTCAAAAAGGTCAAGCTTGGTCCTCCCAGCATTCTTCAGAGCTCACAGGTAAGAGATTTGTGCAGAGAGGAGTCGGATGCTTTAAATTTTCAGTTCTGCTGTGTGCAGCTGAACTGTGTAAGTGTTAAATACTTGACAATTGGTTGCTTGAAAGATAATCTCAAAGTGGTTTGCAATAGTAGTGTGCGTCATGCTGCTGAAAGGCCAGCGCTCCTGTGGGGGAGAGGAGAAGTATACTGAACTCTGCTAGCTGAGGAACAGGTAGTAACACTAATGTTTCCCTGAGTTGGTAGTTGTGAACTGTTTCATGTTCATGCAAAGCTCTTGGCTTTTGAGTTCTTAAAGACCTGGTGGACATCATACCTCTGAAAGATAGAAGGCTGCTAAGCTCAGTTAAATGGAAAGACTGAGTTTTGGTTTCTTGTGGAAAATGGAAGGAAATGGAGTAATTCAGAAGTTTTTTCTCATTCTGGCTTGTCACACTGAGAAGAGAGGTCCAGTCGCTAAGATAGAGGACCTGCTAATCTGTTTTCCTATTTCTGTGCATCTGCCACAAACAACGTGATGTGACCAAGCCCCCTTGACTTTTAATTTTCCTGTGCGTAACGGGAACAATATGTACTTCGTTATGGTGTTACGGCGTTAATGTTTGTAAAACACTTGGAGATTCTGTAATAAAATTGTTTACAGTGGAGAGTTCTGATTTGTTTCAGTGCCTCTAGACCTTTTTCCTGTGAAATGTTTTCTGTGGTTCTTGTGCTGTTAATGTCCATCAGTTGCATGTTTGGCTTAGAGAGGGGAAAAAAAACCAAACTGGAGTTAAGGCAGTTCCCTAAGTGCCTTTTATCATCTTCATCTAGAGGCCAGCACTTCAGCAGGGCAGCAGTTTTCTGCCTGACATAAAGGAGCTTAACAAATGTCAAATGAATTGGTTGAGCATCTCTGTCAACGTGCTATAATCTGGTTTTGATAGCATTAGGTATAGGTGGAGGAGTCTGTATGATTTTCTTCTTTGAATGTAGTCCTGCTTTTTAATTATGCCACATCTATGAGTTCATTCACTTTGTTATCAAGATTGCTATGAGTCAGCTGGGTTTTTAAGAATAGTCCCATTCCTGAAAGGCCCTGCCTCTGGAAGCCCTGGCTGATGTCTTCCCGCACTTGGGTTCTGGGGAGGAAGATTAAACTGAGTCAACACCTGCTTATACTTCTCTCAAGGGGAATGTTGGCTTCCAGGCAGAAATGTTGCAACTCATTGGCTTAAGCAGCTATTGCTGTTGGGTAAATCATATTTCAAATTTATTTTAATGTCTTGCATAAATTAGTAGAAACAGGTTACAGTGGAAGGAAGGAAGGAAGAGTTTGCTAGCTGCTCTGTTAGCGCATGTTCTGCGTATGTGCAATTAGTATTTTAACAGACTAAAGCCAAGGCAATAAGTGTCTCTTTTTTTATACATGTGTTTTTCCCAGGACTCAGTGTTTTTAAGCATTCATTGGCTTCAAAGAAAACTAAAAGGTAGGAGAATTTCTAAGATGAGAATGCTTGAAAACCCTGTGGTTGAAGGGAAGGGGGCACCTGAACTTTAACCCGGCTCCTAAATTGTTTTACTTTCCATAGAAAAGATAAATAGGTGAGTTTCTCTGACAATGGCGTTTCCCTAGCGGAAGCAGCCCGTGGGTCGGTCTTGGCTGCTTGGCGTCCCTCGGTGTTAGCTACGGCGGGGAGGACACCCCTAATGTCTGCGCCCTGCTTTTGTAACCTAGCAGTGCTGGAACGGGCTCTCCGAGATCCCCGCACACGGAGTTCCTCTCTGCAGAGTCCTGCCGTTCTAGTGCTGCGGTTTTGTTAGGGCACTGAGGGTAATTGTGTTCCCTTGAGATGTGTGGCCCCTCTGTTTCGCCCTCGCTCTTCGCAGCTGCTTGTTTATAGCAGAATGTAAAACTGACTTCATTGTGTAAACAGTTTGGGAAGTGCGATGGGGAGGGAATCTGTCCCTTTCAATTACACATAATATTGGTAGTGGAGTACTTAATAAACCTAACATTAGCACTGAAATAGAAATGGTTAGAAAACTTGTGGTTTCGCCTAGAAACCACAGGTTTGGCTTTTTTTTTTCTTTTTTTTGAACAGCAACTTCTGCTTCAGAACTGCAGACTCATTCATTGAGCCGCTAGTTGCGGCTCAAGATTTGCCGCTCCTGATACAAGAGATACAGGCACCTCGATTCAGTAGGTAAATCACACAGATGATTTATGATACAGAATATTCCCGTTTGTGCTGGGGCCAGTTGTTACCAAATGAACAAAATCCTCACATTCTGGTGGTTTTTATCATGTCACTGGAGACAGAACCGAATTCTTTGATAGGTTTTCATGTCTAAGGGTCTTATATGCTTGTTTTGGGTTGTGCAGAAAAACTCTAAAATGTCTAGCTCTGCTAAAAAAAACTGTAGATATGGTAAGTCCAGTTTCCAGTATGTTGCATGCCAAGTGTTCTTAATTGCAAGCTCAAAATCAAGAGCAGTTCATCTAAAATTGCCATTAAAGCTGTTTCAAGTAGAAAGCCAAGTTAAATAAATATTCTGAGATTCCAAATAGCTCCCTGTGTTACGAACGCTCCCTAAAATCTTTCTCGTGCACACGTGAAAAAGGCAAGTGAGTAAGACCGCAGAGAGCCTTGCCTAGCCGCTGATGCTGTTGGCTTCTTTGCGGTGCTTTTATATTAACCCTCGGGCTTAGTATCCAGCTAATCTTCCCAGGGTCCCTCTTAAGCGGGTCTCAGTTCAGATGTGGGGAAAAAAGCAGTAACTGACTTTCATTTTAGTGCTGCAGAATCTAGTTTCCTTTGCACGATTTAGTCCTCAGTTATGAAACAGTCATTGTTCAACCTTCTACTGATCCACTCTGAATCAGAGGGTTGAGTGTATATGCAACAGTTGTAGTGCTATTAACAATTTTATGCACTAATTTGTGTAATCATTAAAGAGTTGAGAAGGTCATTGTTCGCATGAGTAATTATTTCTGTATTTTAATAGCGCTCATTCATCCCTTAGGCTAGTTTTGTATTTGTATGAGTTGGCTAAAGAGCCATGCTTCAAGT